GAGGAGAACAGAAAGAGGAAGAGGCAGGTAGAGAGAGAGGGAGAGGTCACAGGAAGAGGAGGAGGGGGAGGAGGAGAGGTGGGAGTGGAGGAGTAAGGGTTGGGACCACAGAAGTTTTAGTTAGTTTAACAACTTTATTGGCAAAGCTTGGAGTACAAATTGCCTATTCTGAATAGTTCAGTCAGGTCTTGACACTGAGGGTGGTATCACTGTTCACTGCCACACAGGACAGTGGTTCATATACATTATAGGTCATATTCATTAGTGTTATATTCTATTTGAAGAATAATCAGTGTGGACTAGCAAATTTAGGATAGACTGCAAGAATGTTCTCAAGCACTCCTGATTCAATGTAGTAATTACATAGTTCATGATACAATAAGCCAGGTGGCCTTAAGTCTTTGATAGTGTCACATTCAATAATATAGTGTTCAAGTGTACAGCATACTTTAAAGGTTGATCATAAAGTTTACATGCTGAGTGTTCCGGTATGGGTACAGCGTTACTAACTTGTCAGATGTGTCTGTATCCTAGCCTAATTCTGGCCACAACTATATCACAGAGAGAGAGAGAGAGAAGGCCACAGGAGGTGTAGGAGGAGGGGTTTGGGACCATAGATGTTATCTCGGGAGGTGGTGGTTGCTGAAGACGCCTCGACCTTCCAGACCTCCACGATATAAAATAATCTCAGATCCTGAATTACAGTCGACTTAAAATAGTTTTGAACTAAGTGGTGAGAATTAGGAAGAGCGAGTTAAAACTTCAACAAGACTCTGAACTACAGATTAAACTTTACCTGGAATACCCCTGAAAAGTTTTAATTGTAGTGGAAGGTTGAAATTGAAATGCCACGTCGCTGTTAAGTAGTATCTTGCGAAGATCTTCCAGTAAATAGAGAAAGCTTAAACTGCCGGGAATAAATCACAAGAGGCAAGCGAAAATGGATCTGTTGTTTGTACCGAGATCCTAAAATAACTTTATTCCAAATTGGAGCCCAAATTTTAGCATTTTTATCATGGTATATACAGTATACCCTACTACAGTGTATATCGACAAAGCATCATTGGTAAAGTCTGCATTACGTGGATATTCATTTACTGTAAGTAGGCAGATACGTATGTACTTGTGTGTGTGTGTGTGTGTGTGTGTGTGTGTGTGTGTGTGTGTGTGTGTGTGTGTGTGTGTGTGTGTGTGTGTGTGTGTGTGTGTGTGTGTACAATGTAACACGGGCGGCTGCTGGAGACACACCCCTCGCCCTCATTTTTCAGCCCCGTTTTAAAATGAATGATCCAAGAGGAGGAGGAAGAGGAGGAGGAAGGGGGAGGGAGGAGGGGGGTGCGAAAAGGGAGGCAGAGAATCGAGTGACGGAAGATGAAAAAAGATGAGTGTGCGATGTGAAGGAAGTGTGTCGTAGTGAAGGAGGTTGAGAGAGGGTAGTGGATGTTGTAAATGTTTAATAAGGTGGATAATGTTACGTAGAAAGGAAAGGTGGTGTTTGGGAAGGTGGGAGGAAGGGGAGGTGGTGTGTGGGGGAAGAGTGAGAAGAAGGGGAGGCAGTGTGTGGGAAGGATGGGGGCAAGAGGATCGTGGTGTGTGGGTAGGGTGGGAGGAAAGGGAGGTGGTGTGTGGGAAGGGTGAGAGGAAGGGGATGTGGTGTGTGGGAAGGTTGGAGGAAGGGGAACTGGTGTGTGGGAAGGGTGAAAGAAAGGGGTGGCAGTGTTGGAGAAGGGTGAAGGGAAGGGGACGTGGTGTGTGGGAAGGGTGAGAGGAAGCGACAGGTGGAGGTGAAGGTTTGGAAGGGGACATGTGGTAATAGGGAAGGATTGGAAGAGGATGTGGAGAGGCAGGGAAGGATTGGAAGGGAAAATCATGTGACAGTCAAAGATTGGAGGGGGAGAGGATTGGAAGGGGACATTGTGTGAGTGATGGTCAAGGGTTAAAAGGGAAGGAGGAGGAGGCAGGACAACAGCTGTAAGGTCACCAATGGCTGTAAATACCCCCATCACACACCTCACCTCACCACCTGGGCATCAACACGGGTCTCCTCCACACGGGTAAACACTTAATGAGTTCTGGCAGGACTGTCTCACACACGCCTCCTCCTCCTCCTCCTCCTCCCTCCATCTCTCTATCTCTTGTAACATCTCATTTTCCACGCACTCTTCTTCTTACTGTTCGTCTTCTACTTTTTTATTGTTCTTGTTATTCCTGTTCCTGATCTTGTTGTTGTTGTTTTTGTTCATGTTATTGTTGGTTTTTGTTGTTCTTGTGCTTGTTTTTGTTATTATTGTTCCTGTTCCTCTTGTTCCTGTTCATATTCTTGTTCTTGTTCCTTCTTACACTTTGTATCCCATCTTACTTCTCCTCCTGTTTTTTTCTCTTTTATCTCTGATTTTCCTCTATTTCCCTCAATCTCTTCTTTATTCTTTTTAATTCCTTCCCGTCTCCTCCTCTTCCTTTCCCTTCTCCTGGTGGGGTGAGGGGTGGGGACAAGACACTGGTCAGAGAGGAGTCGCCATATGAAGAAACTGCAGGTCACTTAATGTCTTCACTCGCTGTCACTAAGATTGTCATCCCTGTGTTTGGCCTATCGTCCAATTTGTCCATCTTTTGCTTCTTAGAGCGATTGGGAGGGGATAGTGAGTGAATGTGAAGGATTGGGTGGGATTGGTGAGTGAATGTGAAGGATTGGGTGGGATTGGTGAGTGAATGTGAAGGATTGGGTGGGATTGGTGAGTGAATACGAAGGATTTGAAGGGTATGTATGAATGGAATGGGATGGCGAGTGAATATGAAGGATTAGGAAGAGTAAGATGATGAAAATAAAGGATTGGAAGAGGTTAAAGGTGAATATGAAGGATTGGAAGGGGGATTAGAAATTAAATATGAAAGGTTGGAAGGTATGTATGTATATGTGTGTGTGTGAAGACCTTAGGCGGTAGGTAAGGAACAAACACCTCCTCCTCCTCCTCCTTTTCCTACCATTACGAGGCATTAGCTCTGGGACTTTCATTTACCTTGTCGTGTAGGGCTCTTAATCCCCTCTCCTCCCTGCCTGGCACGACCCTCCCACCATCACACTTGTTAGGGCCGCCTCCACCACACAGCCCAGACGTGTTTCCAGCGTGTTGGGGGACTCTAGTGGACCTTTGTGGAGTGGTGGAGAGTGTTTGGACTTTTGTGGACTGGTGGAGAGTGATGTTGAGCTTTGTGGAGTGATGGAGAGTGATGTTGAGCTTTGTGGAGTGGTGGAGAGTGATGTGGAATTTTGTGGAGTGGTGGAGAGTGATGTGGACTTTAGTGGAGTGATGAAGGGTGATGTTGAGTTTTGTGGAGTGATGGAGAGTGATGTTGAGCTTTGTGGAGTGGTGGAGAGTGATGTGGACTTTTGTGGAGTGGTGTGAGAGTGGATGTGTGATTTTTGTGGAGTGGTGGAGAGTGATGTGGATTTTTGTGGAGTGGTGGAGAGTGATGTGGACTTTGGTGGAGTGATGAAGGGTGATGGAGTGATTGATGGACTTTAGTGGAGTGATGAAGGGTGATGTTGAGTTTTGTGGAGTGATGGAGAGTGATGTTGAGCTTTGTGGAGTGGTGGAGAGTGATGTGGACTTTTGTGGAGTGGTGGAGAGTGATGTGATTTTTGTGGAGTGGTGGAGAGTGATGTGGAATTTTGTGGAGTGGTGGAGAGTGATGTGGACTTTAGTGGAGTGATGAAGGGTGATGTTGAGTTTTGTGGAGTGATGGAGAGTGATGTTGAGCTTTGTGGAGTGGTGGAGAGTGATGTGGACTTTTGTGGAGTGGTGGAGAGTGATGTGGATTTTTGTGGAGTGGTGGAGAGTGATGTGGATTTTTGTGGAGTGGTGGAGAGTGATGTGGACTTTAGTGGAGTGATGAAGGGTGATGTTGAGTTTTGTGGAGTGGTGTACATTGAAGTGGATTTTAGTGGAGTGATTGAAGGTGTAGTGGACTTTTGTGGAGTAGTGGACATTGAAGTGGATTTATTAGAAGGTGATGAAATTGTTCCTGTACACCTACAATAATTAACAATATACTTGTTATTTGTTATACCTGCATTGTTATATACCTTGTTCTACTGAAGATCAAATATTGGAGACGGTACACATGAACTTACAGACTGACTTATGACCATTTCTAATATATACTGTAAGTGTAACAAGATATATTACAATGCAGGTATAACAAGGAACAATTAAGGAACAATTTTATTATTAATTATTATTGCAGGTACACAGGGACTTTTTGACCAGCTTCTAGTAAGACCGTATGCTTGTGTGTGTTGGTGCACGTCAGCAGGTAAGAACACTGGGTAACATACACCGCTTGTGACAGGTGATGCCGCTCCAGCTCTTTAAAAGCATAATTATATGTTTTCAAATCATCCTTACTGGTATTTGGTCTGATTTATGTTGCGAGTTTAGAGTATTAGGCGGGTGTAAAGTGGCACTTAACACTCGCTCAAAGGCTACGCATGACGCACTTATATTTTTTTTAAAGGCACTGATGCGACGGTGGTTCAGGGGTGGTGAACACGACCCCGTTACTCAGGTGCCTGGGTTCGACTTTTCTACGCATGATAATAATATTAATGACACTTTCTACTACTACTACTGCTACCACAACTACACTTACTACTACTAATATTATTAATATCATTAACAACAATAAGAATATAATAATAATAATAATAATAATAACTATTTTTATTATTAATAGCATGTTTTATTAATCTGTTACATAACGTTCGTCCAACAAGCGGTACTACACCCCTTTTAAGAAAATCGAGCGAAAAACCTGTTTTTAATTTCCGTGTTACACTCAAACGTACACAAAAAATACAGGTAGCTGCTGCAAAACCGCGGCATCCTTCCTCGCACAGACAAACGGTGTGATCTCAAGCGCGACTCAGCGGGAGACGTGAGCACAAGGGGAGGGAGGACTAACAGGGTGTGCAGGGAAGGTGGTGGCGGTGGGCGTCTCACCTGAGCGAGTGTCGGCCAGGTGAGAAGCGGACACCGTCGCCTTCCGTCAGCTTCCGTCTATTTGCGAACATCTGTGCCTCGCCACGGATTAACTCAGTGTGAGAAGGAATAAAAAGACAATTTGTTTTTTCTTCCGTTTTTCTGTACGCACGCACGCACGCACGCACGCACGCACGCACGCACACAATTTCAGGAACGCTTTTAAGCTGCAGTCAGTAGTATCACACTTCAGAAACTCCCAACAATAATACCAAGAATTTTTGCAAGCTAAAGCAATATGTCTCCCCCATACTGAACGACAGGAAAAAAATATACGTTATTAGTTGGTTGATTGTTTGACCTTTGACCCAGTTTCATCTCTTGAATGGTCAAAATAATAAGTAAAGAAAAGTGGTTGGTTATTGCATTTAGATACAATAATGCTGAGTTCAAAATTAATTTACCTAAAATTGAATGAGTGACGCTGAAGTGTTTTATGTTTACACGAAGAACAAGAAGAACAACAACAAGATGAAAAAGAACAAGGAGCAGAATAAAATAAGTAACGATTAAAAAAAACAGTGTAATTTTTTCAGGGGAGGGGATTAAATTGCTACTGTATATATTTGCAAAAACAAGAACAAGAAAACAAGAAGAAAAACAAGAACAGGGAGAAGAAAGCGAATAAGAAATAAGATCAAACATTGTCTTCTGCTCTCAGGGGAGGATTTGTATTGGCAGTGTTCAGTTGTTCAGTTCACACTCATTAAAATCGATCATACGCCACACGCTGTCCTCCCTGTGTCCTGGACGTCCTCAAAGAATAACAAACAGCCATCAACCACACCACGGACACACACACACACACACACACACACACACACACACACACACGTATAACATTGTGACTGGCGTAAATAAAAATTTGATGCTAGTTGCGGTGTTGGGGGGCCGTTGTGTGGACATCTGCAAGACGTCTGCTGCTGCTGCTGCTGCTACTGCGGTCGTCTCGGAAATGACTGCTGTAAGCTCCTGCTGTGGTGATGCTGCAAGAAGCTGCTAGACTAGTGGAGAAGGAGGAGGAGGGGGGTGACTTGGGGGGGCGTTTTGGTGAGTGTTTGGGTGTGGTTGTAGTCTGTATGAGAGAGAGAGAGAGAGAGAGAGAGAGAGAGAGAGAGAGAGAGAGAGAGAGAGAGAGAGAGAGAGAGAGAGACATTCACACACACAGTTACAGACGAAAAATACACAGACACAGAAACACGCACAAACGCACACGCATAAAAATATATATAATCACACACACATACACACGTACTTACACGCACAGCCGAACCTTCCCTCCCCCCACGTCACGAAGTTCCCAGGGAATCTATTTCACACTAGAGGGAGGTACAGCCGCCATACATCTACGGTCTTAAAAAGCAGACCACAAAACCCTGCCATTGTGTGAGTGGCGTCGGTGTTGTGTGTTTACAGCGGCCACACGTCCCCATGGCGTTCACTAATCCGGGTATTCACTAGACCGGGACCTGGTGTTCACTAAGCCGGGATATGGTGTTCACAAGGCCGGGATATGGTGTTCACTAAGCCAGGATATGGTGTTCACTAGGACGGGATGTGGTGTTCACTAAACTGGACTTGGTGTTCACTAAGGTTAGGTATGGTGTTCACTAGACCGAATATTGTGTTTACTAGAACGGACTTGGCTGTTCACTACAATGGAACATGGTGTTTGCTCGGCTAAGTTTTAGTATTCACCAGCCAGAGAGCTCGTGTTCGCCAGGCCTGGAACTTGTGTTCGCCAGGCTGGAACTTGTGTTCGCCAGGCTGGGATGTGTTATTCGTTATACTGTCTAAGACTCACAGATACGGACAACTTACAAAGATATAAATAAATGTAGTGGGAGTCGGAGTCTTTACTACGTCATAACCCGAGTAAATATACTTGTTTCAGGTGATATAACTTTCATTTCTTAACCCCTTGAGTACGATGAATTAACCCCTTGAGTACGATAACTGAACCCATTGACTACGATTTCATAATCTACTGAGTGCAATGACATCGAACTGTAGGGATTAAGTCATCGTACTAAAGGGGTTCAGTTACCGTAGTCAAGGGGTTAAATCATCGTAATCAAGGGGTTAAATCATCGTACTAAAGAGATTAAGTGTTCGTAATAAAGGGGCTAAATAAGGAGTTGGAACAGTCATATCTTCATAAAGAAAACAGCAGAGGTAAGTAGGTACTAGGCAGCTACCAAACAGGGAGGTACTACCGCCTGGGAAGATAATGGAAGCATAATGTATTGTCTAATGGTAGACCCTGCTGCCATATGGCATCACGAAAATTGTGACCAAGTTCCAGGTTGCTGATCTGACTTTCTGCCTCATTTACACACAATTGCAGGGTCTCAATTGTTTCTCTTACCATTGACAACAGAGCATACATATATTGTTTCTCACTCTTGATCTTTTTTTCATTTTTGTATTTCTTTATTATTATTATTATTATTATTATTATTATTATTATTATTATTATTATTATTATTATTATTATTATTATTATTGCAGTGTTATTTTTATTATTATTGTTATCATTATTATTTTTTATTATAAATTTTACTTATCGGAATTATTATTATTATTATTATTATTAAATTTTCGCCCCCCAGGCCGTGATGTGGGTCAGTGACATGTGCCCGGGTGGGGTAATCCCCATAAAAAAAAAAAAAATCGGTGCAGTGAACAGTGAAGCAATAGTCAACTGTGTGTTTATCAAAATTTCCATCAGAATATAAACACGGCGCTTGAGGCCTCGATATAAAATTAATATGCAGGTTACGAAATGACACTAAATTGATATCTCATCCAATCTCGTGTATATTTAATGATGTGAATAACAATGAAACGATAACATCAAGGTGAGTATGACAGGTGGAGGCATGTAGTGTGTTATTAATGATGGGTGATGTTAGTGTGTGTGTGTGTGTGTGTGTGAAACGACAGCGATATGCCTGACATTGGTAGGGGAAGGTGGGTGGGTGGGGTGGGGGAAAGGGTAGGGTGGTGGGGAAGGTGGGGTTCGGAGTGGTGGGGTAATGTGGGGTCGGGTGGTGGGGTATGGGGTGGGGGGTGGTGGGGTATGTGGGTGGGGGTAGTGGGGAAGGTGAGTAGGGTGGTGGGGAGGATGATGGTGGGGTAAGGTTTGGTTTTGTTCTTTGTTCTGAGAGAGAGAGAGAGAGAGAGAGAGAGAGAGAGAGAGAGATCTTCCCAATTACTAATACAATCTTATGAATCTAGAGGATAAAATAATTTCCGATTCATAAACAAAAAATACATTTTCCCAGCGTCATTATACACAAGTATGGTTGACACGCCACGTAAGACAGGAACGGCAGCAGTAACACAGCCTTCAGTTGCGAGGTAAACAATAGTCGCTCAACAAACAGTAATTAAAATAGTGTTGAACCCTGGTGAGAAATTCATTATTTCACTTTATGAGTTCAGAAACTACAGGTACAGATACAAGTACAGGTACAGATACAAGTACAGGTACAAGTCCTCCGTACAGGTGCATATACTATAACAGGATCAAATACATGTACAGATACAAGTACAGGTACAGATAAAAGTACAGGTACAGATACAAGTACAGATACAGAGACAAGTACAGGTACAGAGACACGTACAGGTACGGATACAAGTACGGGTAGAAGAAATTCAGAACGACATCAGTACATAAACATCATTCAGGAACAATTTTCGTCATTCCATCACCTACTAAAACAGTGCGATGATATTACCGATTATCTGTCTGTCAGTCAGCCTGTATGTTTGTCTGTCTGTCTGTCTGTCTGTCTGCCTGTCTGTCTGTCTGTCTGTGTGCCCAGCTGTTTGTTCCCTTGTACAAGTTACAAGTATCACTACATATACACTTAACACACTTAAATAACTCACTAGAATGAACACGTTTTCAAGTCATCCCTTACGTGGATTTCACTTTCAGGTTTAACACTGGCAGGGCGTCCTTGTTTTATCACCCCTGACAGCGCCAGAGGGGGTTTAATAGGCCGTATAAACCCACTCGTAAAGCGCCACACTTGGAGAGTATGAGCAGCCCCATCTTAAAGCGAAATCTGACTCACCGTATTTGTGTTGTTGTAACGTGAGTGTTGGTGATAGTGATCATTGCTCTGGGGGTGGTGATGGTGGTGGTGTTGGGGATGGTGGTGATGGTGGTGGTGGTGTTTATGTGTGAGTGACTACTGCTTACGTGCTTGCTAGGTTCTTGACACACACACACACACACACACACACACACACACACACACACACACACACACACACACACACACACACACACACACACACACACACACACACACCACTCAATACTCACCCTTAAAGACCAAAACACATTATTTGTGTTGCATATGAGCACGTGTTGTTCAGCTGATTTGCTCACCTCATTCTAAAACGCCCCTTTCCCTCCCTCCCTCCCTCTCCCGTTCCTCCCTCCCTCTCCCCTTCCTTCCCTCTCCCCTTCCTTCCCTCTACACAGACCACTGGACACAGCACGCACTTTGCCCTTCACTTCGCTTAAATTATTCACTCTGGCTTCTGTTTATATGATTCAGTTGATTTATTCAGCACTCAGCATTAAACTAAAACTCATTCTTCTGCTGGGACTGTTCAGTGTGACACCCAGTTAATTACACTCTCTGATATAGAAGTCGATGTGTGTAATGTTATGAGAAAGGGGAACTAATGGATAGAAAGAGAGAGAGAGATAGAGAGCAAGAGAGGGAGAGAGATGGATGGATGGATGGATGGATGGATGGATGGATTGACGGACGTGTGACGGACGGACGTGTGTGTGTGTGTGTGTGTGTGTGTGTGTGTGTGTGTGTGTGTGTGTGTGTGTGTGTGTGTGTGTGTGAGTGTGTGTGTGTGTGTGTGTCATCGATCCTTCCGTTACTTTATGGAAGTTGTGGGGGGATTACTGCTTACAGGGGGAGGAGGCTGTGTGTAGAGATGAGGAAGGAGGAGAGGGAAAGAGAAGGAGAAGGAAAGAAGAGGAGGAGAAGGAAGA